CGATACTCTTTGAGTTTGCGTTTCTTCTCTACCATTTTACGCAAAGCCTCCTTTTCATCCTCCGTCTTGACTATATGGTCGTGGAAAAGTACTTCGCCAGTCAACAGACCTTCCTCGATTTTCATCAGCTGCATTGTTAGACGTGGTCCGATTTCATACAAACGAACTGCCGACTTATTGTCTTCTAAGTTACCTTTGCGTTTCAGTGTTTGTGGCAGTACGACCTGCGCATGTTCATCGTCTTCCATTTCAGATTCTGAAGCAGCACCGTCTCTGGATTGGAATGAGATTTATGTAAAAATGCAACATAATAAGAAGGGAATACTAAACACAAACTTACTGCATTATGAAATCAGCGATATCTTCGCATTTAGATAAATTTGGAATTTTTCCCATAACAAGCTTCTTAACGCCACGCGTCAAACCAACAGGAACTACTTGCACTGAATAATGGCGCATTTCGATTAAATTTGTGTCGCGCGTATACGAGAATAGCACACATCGCCGAATTGTGGCTATATTTACCTTTATAAGAGCAAAATTAAAAAAAAATAATAATAATAATCAAAAACACACACTGCATTCTGTTCAGCTTTTAGTACATACCTGCGCCAAATTTATAGCAGGGAACATATTTTGGAACGTACTGGCCATTAGCTTCAAATGTTTGCCATCACCTGTGAAATTATTCATGATAACCAGCGGCGAACTTTTAAACATGTCATCATCCACATATTGCCGTTTGCTGGTCGAGAGCACGTCGCGCGCCAATGTGAATTGGTGTACCTGCCAAGAAAGTGGGTTTTATGCGTTATTTTTTGATTTTTTAACAATTTTTGATCCATCCTACCTTAAAAGTTAACGTTGGACCACGCGGCATGCGCACTATTTTAAAAGACAACTGGGATGTGGCCTTATTAAATATGCCCATATGGGAGACATGGAAGTAACCACTCATTGTCACAAAATCTTTAATGCGATTCATTTTCTTTTCCTTCAACTGGGATGCCGTAAATGGTTCCATTATTTTACGAAAATCCAAAGTTAAGTCGGTTATATAGGGACAGGAAAGACCACGATGTATAATAAAAGAATGTGGCGCATCAACCAATTCACTTGCTTCCTTCTCCTTGAAAGCAGCAGTACGCTTTTTCGGATGTGATTTCTTCTTGGCTTTACCCATTATAACAGTGTATTTGTTTATTTTATATTGAGAAAATTATTGTTTCGATTATTTTATAAATGATAATATTGACCACACACGCTTGAAATCTGCTAACTATAAAATTTTCATAATCGCAAGAAGATCCTCGTGTTTACAATCTTCTTCTTGTTAATTATGTGGTATTCACGTTTGCTTCTATGAGCAGGTTACAGTGAACGCCACATTTAAAGGGTGCTCGTCGCCGATAGCGCAATTTTTAACGTTAGGTCATTTTCCACATTTTTAAACGGTTGTCGTTGTTGTAACAGTATTATAAATCCTCAAATAGTTTTTAAGGAATGATGCTGGAGTGACAGTCATTGCCCTGATGTGAATCTTTGTCTTTCCGGTTACATAGACCCCTACTGTCATAGGAACGACATTTTTATAGGGTATTTTTTAATGGTACTCGTCTCTCGCGAACCGTATTTTCACCAAATTTTTAAGGGGTACTGGTCGCGCGAACCACTTTTTTAACAGCGAGAGCCAAAAAACAAAGTAAAATGAATAATCAGAAGAATTTATATCCACGATGAAAATGTATGCTAAAGGGCTTTTGTGAAAAGAAAAAAATATTTATGTATTTTTATAAAGAATTCGGGAGTCCGAGTTTCAATATGCATAAAACCCTTTAAAAATTTAGTATATTTTACTGTTATCTGACAGTAAAAAATTTATAAAAAGCACTAGATAAATGACCACATTTTAAATAAACTTAATTATAATTTGGTCTCGAAGCTAAGCTAGGTGAAGAGATGAAGGGATGAAGTGACTTGTTCTAAAATAGACAATACGTTTATTCTATCGGATGAACCAACTTATCGAGTGCCGTTAAGAAATTCTATATTTTAAATGTGACTTTTATTTCTTTTCTTAGGAGTAAACATCCAGTTCAATGTTTCTACCACTTGCTGTTGTAGCACTATTTTTCCCTGCCTAGATTAGATAGTATGGGTATGCCTGTCAAATAAATGGAGTTGCGTATTAAGAGCGAAATACACCACACAAGCGGTTTGAGAAACCAAGCGAAATTTCCCTTTGCTTCAAGCCATTTGTGCTGTGTAT